GGAGACGGCACCGCCCCGGCCCGGCTGCACTTCCTGCGGCGCGGCTACCGCTTCCTGCTCCTCCCGTGGTGGGTCGGGCGGGCGAGTCAGACACGGCCGCGGTGGCGGCCCTTTCAAACGCGGCAGCCGGCGGCAGCAGCGGGTAACGACTGGGGGAGCCGCCCGCCCCTCGGTGGGACAGGGACGGGAGCAAAGCAGAGCGGGCAGCGGCGCCGAGCTGGCCCTGGCGCCCTCCGTGCCACGCAGCAGCGCCCGGCAAGCGAGGGATTCGCTTTTGTCTCGGTTGTTCAGGCGGAAAGGAGCCTGTTCTTCCCTCCCATTCCCACCCCCTCTGCCCGGGGAGAGAAGTGCCGGACCCCTGCTCGGGGGTGAGCGGAACAGCGGATGCGGGCGGGCACCCCGGGCTCAGATGGGGCGGGACAGCTGGAAGGGAAAGGAAGGCGCTTGAGAGGCGGCTCATTCCCGTGGTTCTCCCACCGAGCTGATGCCCTTCCCAGACGGCGAGGGTGAGATTTAGCTTTGTTAGCCATTCCTCTTGAACGCTGTCAACATATCTGAAGAAATCAAGGTGTCGCCAGCGAGAGACTAGGGCTTTGAAGTACATAAAGTGCATTTTCATGTCGGGCGTCTTTCTAGGCCGACAGGCAGTGATTTGGGGTGGTAGTTAGTCACCAAGCAACAAACAGTCCTTTTCTCTCAACCCCCCTGTACCTCCAAGCCTCCAAAGTGAGTGTTTTGGTGTGATAAATTCTTCTGTGGCTGTAGCCGTGCAGAAAAGATGTTAGTCTTCCATAATCCTTTGGGAGTAAAGGCATCCCGTTTAATGAACCAGGATGTGTTTTTGTGGGGCTGGTTTGGTGGACCGGAGAAAAGGAGTAAGTGCATATGATGTAGCCTTCTGTTGCTGCATCAGAAGCAGTATTCCCTGATTTTGGATAATGTCTTCATAGGTGGTTTGAGATAAGTGGATTAAGAAAAATGCATGGAAAGTGTTTGTGCCCTTCTTGAGTAGACCTCTTCTGATTCATTTACGGGTTGCTGCTGCATAACACAAGTTTTTCCTTTTCCTCAGTGGTACTGCTAATTATAGGAGCAGGCATGGGATAGAATGCACCTTCTAGAGGCACAATCTTTATGCTCTACCTTTTTGATGGTACTTCTGTAAATAAAATTGGTAGGTGGTGTTCTTACACTTCTTCCTCTCTGATTAGCTTTGAGGACTATTTTGGTGTATGTGTGTACCCTGTATGTCTCTGTTTCTTTGTGGTTGTAATTTTCCAGTTAGTGCTGAAAGCTCCTAAATTATGTCTGCAACTCCTTCCTCAGGCAGGTCTGACTGACATTGTACAGGAAAAGTCCTTGGAAATCTGCACTAGCTTCTCTGAGCAAAAGTGTCTGGGAGTTCTCCAAGGTTTTAACCTCAAGAGGATTAAGTTGGTTTTATATTTTGAAGTACAACTCAGCTAACTTGTCTCTCCAGGACAAAAACCGGGAGAGACAGAAAGATTTCCATATAAGTCTCTACCATTGGTCTACACAGCATCTTTCCCCCTTGTTGCTGACAGTATGCTCACATTTTGATTTTTCTTTTCCTTAGAATTATTGCAGTCAAGGTATCTTAAAATGACAAGCAAAATCAACCTCATGAGGATTTCCTTATAATTACTGAAGTGTACCAGTCTGCTTCTGCTAACAATGGTCCAAAATTCCCTTGTCATATGGGATTCTTATAATGCTCGTTTTGTCCCACCTCAGGTGCTTCATGTTATAAATGCTGATTTGGCTAGTATTTTTAGACTTAAAAGAAGCTAAAATGCAAAATTATACTATTCTTGCTAGTTTATTTGTGATAGAAAAGCCGAGGCTGTAGAGCAAAGTTTGAGGAGCTTCCTGCATAGAGGGATCCCTGTTTTGTAAGGAATGTGTTTCTTTGGATTAACTGGAAAAGAGATTCAGAAGTTTCTGTGTGCTTTTCAGCTGGACAGCGCTTTTTGCAGTTACTGAAATGAAATTCCAAGTGTATTTGTGATGGTGGTGTGTTTTGGTTTGTTTCTTTGTTCATTGGGGGTTTGTTGGTTTTTGTTTTGTTTTTATTTAATCCTGTGCCTTTGGCTAGAAAAATCTATTAAGAGTTCTTTCTGAATCTGAAAACTTGCTCTACTGATGAAGTTTTAGAAGAGGTGTGTGCTAGTGCGGGGTTTTTTTCAGGGGGGTTGGGAAAATGGTGAGGAGTGAGAATTTTTTTAACTAATTACTTTTAAACTGTTATTAAACTTCTCTTTCTTCAAGCAATTGCTTATGCCACTGGGATTCACATAAGCAGAAATTTATCTTTAATGGGTTGTGCCTTTGCATGAATAGGGAGATTGAAGAGAACAGCGGTCTCAAAATGAGATTTGAATTGCTCCTTAGCATGAAAAGGTCCTTAAAACCTCAGTCTGCTTATATTTGTGTGCAGCCTAGACCTGTTTATGGAGAGAGACCAGAGAAATGATTACTTCCTTGCTGTATGCTTTGTGCATACCCATATTAAGATTCTGTGCAGTAAGGATGAGAGCTACTGGGTCAGTCTTTATTCCTTGTGTGGTCTGACCACAAACTGTAGTAGCCTTATTTTAATGAGTAGCTGACAGGCAGGGAGGAGTGAATTATTTGCAGCCGTCCAAATTGTGATGTAGAGCTCAGCATTGGATGCAGAGGATAGAAGTGATGGTGGGAACAAAATAACTGGCAACACAACTGATGCCAAACTATTTGGAGAGTGAACCTAGCAGATCTATCTATCTACAATTGCAATGATTTAAGTAGTTTCAGCTCTTCACTGGACAGCATAATAGTTCTGTGAATTTCTTCAATTTTTACCTGGAAAGTGCTTTCAAAGAATGTGCTATAACTGATTAGTTTTGTGGAGGAACCAGGCTTTAGCGGGTGCATGAGTGTGTTTCAAGCAATAATGCTTCATGCTGTCATTTGGGACATGGACAAGCAGATGAGTTTTGATTCCCTTGAACAGAGGATCAAGAGTCTAGTGTGAAGGTTCAGCATTGAGGTTTCAGCCTATCTTACAGAAGCAAAAGATCTACAAATCTGTACACAGACAGATTTGAAATGAAACAGCAGTCAGGAGCTTAAGTATGTAGACAAGGCCAAATTTTCCAGGGACCAGCTCACATTGCCTGCCATGGAAGTAAAATACTGTTGGTGAGATAAGTAAGAACTGTTTTTCTTAATGAACAGCATTGTCAGAAATTAAAAAGTTGCTGACAGTGTACATAAAACAAGAAAAAGTTAGCTGATGGTTACTGGCCAGAAGTTTACTAGCCTCAGGTATGAGAAGAGCTGCTAGAACAGAGCTTGTTGAAGTTCAATATGATAATTGGCAAGCTGGTGAAATCCTGAACAGAGTGAGTGGCTAACTTGTGCACAGTTCTGGATACTGCATGTTTACTTCCTTGAGCTCATAAGGTGAAGGTGATAAGCTGATAACCACCAAGCACTGTAAGCATCTGTGATGCATCTATGGATGGCAAAACTGGACACAGACATGGGAAGGGAAAATGACCTGACTGGTATAAACAGGTTACTGTTAATTTTTCAGCTTCGTAATTGGCTCTTCCATATCTGTGGAGTACTTCTGGATTTGGAAGGGACTATCATTTCTTTCCTTGGGGTAGAAATCAGCTCTCACTCGGAGTATGGTTAACCGGAGCTGACAGAGAAGGAAGTCTTAAAGGCAGTTTTCCCACTGAGGCCAGTCAATCTGGAAAATGGGAGATAAGTGGCCAACTTCACCCTGGCTTGATCCCAGCATGCTGTGGGAAGGTGACAAAAGCTGTTCCCTCTACACTCATGTCAGGGGATGTGGGGGACTGCATCCCCACAGAAGTGGAGCATGGAGCTGGCAGTAGCATATTGAGTGCCTTGTAATGCAGTCAGTGTTGTAGATGCCCCATATTCAGCTTAACAGTGTTTGCCTATTTCTTGAGTCTTCCTGCCTCACTTCAGGGACTGTCTCCAAGCTTGTTTTCTGTTTTAGTTATCTCTTATCAGCAGTGGCATTTTGGCTTGTTTCTTTTTCATCCTCTTCCCTGCCTCTACCTCTGCACTGAATCACAGAAGGGCTGTTTTTCTTAGTCATTCTAAGTGTTTTCTTAGTCATTTCTTAGTGTTTGCACACCCCAGCACAGGCGGATCAGGAGGAAAATTTAGCATACAGCTGTCTGGCAATTTGAAATTAAACAAGTACTTTTGTGGGTTCTAATTAAAAAAATATATTTTGTAAACAAGAAGTATATATGTTGTAGCTATAAGATTCTTTTCTACAAATATGAAGTACAGTTAGTTTGTTGTATTCATGGGGAGAAGGGGAGGTGCTTATAATTTGGCCACACCTTGCAGTGGAAATATGCTTTTGTTTTGTTTTGTTTTTCCCTTTGTGATACCCCATGCTTGATATTTATCTTACATGTGCGGTTTTGGTATTACCTTTTATTTTCAGCCATAGAACTCCATTTTGGCTTCTGACCACAGCTTGGCTGTTCATGGAGAATTACTAAGGAACTCATCTCCTATTCTTCTGCAGATATGGAGAGTTAGATAGGTCACCAGTATTGGATGCTGGGAATTGCAATTAACTTTATAAGTGAGCATTACTCTTGCCATAATCTTACTTAATGTAACAATACAAGTGGTGAGATATTTTGATACCCTCAACCACTTGAGGTGAAAGGGGAAATAGTAGCAGAAAAAAGGACCTTCCAGATGAGGTTTTCCTTTTACCTGGGCTTCTGGGTAGGCTCCAGAACTTTAATGGAGTTAAACTTTGTATGCTGTCTGTTCCAAACTGGCAGGGATAGTTAGAGTGGTGTAC